CCCTCGCCTGCGGGAGCTGGGCTGCCGCGGCCACCTGCTCGCCCGTCGCCCCCCGCTCTTGCCCGGCCCCGAGCTTCCCATTGTCTGTCCGTGGTCTGCGCGTCCTGGACACTCGGCGGACACCTGACTCCCGGGCTCGGGCGGGCTAAGGGAATGGTCCTTGCTTGGGGACTAGGAGGGAGGCCTAGCTTTCGGCTTTGGGTCCACCTGGGGGCGGGGGACCAGAGTACATTAGTTATTAATTGTGCTGCTGCGAAGCCGCTGAGGGTGTGCGTGCTTCCCCTCAATCCGAGTGTGGGGGGCGCGGGGCAGAAGTTCCCAGAGCAGCCCTGGAGAGGCCCCCAAACCGAGGCTTCGAACCCGAAAGCACGATCCGGGGTCCCCAAAACAGCTGTGTCCCGCCCCCCCAACACACAAGCACAGCCCACTCCTCGTTTTCCCTCGGAAAGATCGTGGAGGTTGTGCGCGCGCGCGCGCGTGTGTGTTAGGGCTGGGGAACAACACCCCGGCTTTTTCTTGCAAAGGGTGGGACTGGAGATAACCTGATCCTCGTCCTGGATTTTCTGGGGCAGAGATAGACCAGGGGACCCTGTGTTAACTCATGCGTAGGAAGCGCGGCCAGCCGGAATAGCTAGGTAGAGGTGGGGATGGGGGGTGGGGGGGTCGTGTGTATTTAGGGAGCCTTTCTTTGGCTCCAGTCCAGCCCCAGTTTGCCTCGACAGATCCGGGGAGGTGGTGTTTAATTAAAAGCCTGGCTTCCAGAAGAGTGGGCAGGTTTGGAAAGCTGTGCGGGCGGGTGGGTGTGGACAGCCCCTCTTCAGCTCTGCTTGGCGCCTGGAGCAGCTTTTGTCTGATGAAGTGTGCGGTTTGGAGAGGCTTCTTGCCTCAGAGATGGACTTTAGGAAGGAATGCTCAGCTGTCAACTCCTGCTTCCCCTTTTTAGAGCCAGCTACCACCTCTCCCAGGGTAAACTTTGTCTAGGAGCCCCTTCTTGGTCTTGTCCATTTAAAAATCCTGTGTATCTTGTGTATTTTGTCAGAGATTGACATTCATGTGGCTTAATCTGCAGCCAGACCCTGCTTGCCCAGGAATGCCTCTAATCCAGGCATTTGGAATTAGATGGATTAGGCCCTCTTCAAAGACAGCCCCTCATTCCTTTGCCCGTCCATGTCCACATTGCATTCCCGAAGTGCTCTTTTGAACAAAGATCGGTGTCCTCCTTTGGACTCGCACATTTATCGTTAACTTCAATTCTGCACACCTTATAGTCAGACCAGCTTGGTCTGAGGCGCACATGGTAAATTCTGATTTCCGGAGGAGGAACTTGAGGATGGGGAAGCTGCTTGTGCTTTGTGGCGAGGAGATGCGAGGCTGTTACCAGTCCCTGAGTAGTGACAAGAAGCCGGGCCCTGACGGAGCCCTGGCTGTAGCCGCAGAGTTACCCACCTGGCCTTTCTCTCTTTGTCCTTTACCCAGATCCACATCAGCGTTCCTAGTCCTCTGCGACTCCAGAGCCCTTCAGAGGTATCCCTTCCCCCATGCTGGGCGCTCCTGCCTTCTGCCTGTGTCCACATTGCCTGGTGGTATGCTCTGTCCAGAGATTTGTGGGTGCTGAGGTGTGGTTCTTTTTGCAAAGTTCCTGTTAAAAATCAAATCTCAGCCCCATCAGTACTGAGTGTAGAGTTTGTAAACCCAAAGTTCTTTCCCCTTGAGTTTAATAGGTTTAGTCAACATTCTGTGGGAAAGCATTTATTTTAAAGGTTTTTTTGTTTATATTGTTTTGTTTTGGCAGTAAAGTATTTTAAAAACAAGATTGAACAGAAGACTAAACTGTTGGTTTCTACAGAATTTTAGACTTTTGGGAAGTAGAGGGGTAAGGGAAAAATGGAGTGTCTGATTTCCAAGATTATTTATGCATGATACAATGCTGAGTATTTTTACAGAGTTTCTTCTTTTGACAGACTTTTTATGAATTAGAAGGCAGAGATTTTTAAAATGGAAGATAAAAATTTTAAATATGACCATTATGGATAAACAGTATAGAGTATACACCTGCACACAGTTGCCAGCAAAGTCAGGTTTTTAATACCTAGAGTGAGCTGATTTTGTCATGACCTGCTGGTCTTTTTCTCATCTTAACTCCAGTGACACATTTATCATGCCTTTGGTTCCCTTTCTGTTTGCTTTAAGGGAGCAGTGTTAAATGCTAGAAACTGACTTGGAATGCCATTTTATACCATTTTTAGGTTATTTTCTTAAAAGTCATGTTGAACTGGGGGTGAGAAAAGAGAATGCTTTTCTAAGTAACACTTACTTCTTTAGAATGTACGGCAGCACAGGAAGGGAGTCAGTTTCCTCTTGGGGGGTGGGAAAAAAAGAAAGAAAAACAGAAAATGGAGTAATTTCCAGACCTGATACCATCTGTCTTCTAAAACCAAAGATCTCAAGCAGGGAAAATCAGAGATTGTTCTTGGTCCCACGGAAGGCTACTTCTCCCATTGCAGGGCTGGCTGCCTGGGTGGGGTGTCTGTATTCTCCTTTTCAGGAGTGAGTGAAGGAGAAACCCTCATTTCCCCCTTGGGGACCAAGCATAAAATGAGCAGCATCTGTTAAGTAACTTACCCCCTGAGAGAGGAAACCTGGTGTTTCCCCTTCTGCACCCCTGTGGTGGTGCTCACTAGTGTGGCTTGCACAGTCACGCACTGGCTGCCCTTGCCCGATTGGTGTGAATCACTCACAGAGCTGCTGATTTGTGCTAGTCCGGGAGGAAAGGGGAGACCAGACTGTGAGTGTGGCTGGGGACCACACTGAGGAAGGTCTGGAATTTTTTCTTCGTCCTAGGAAGGATAGGCCAAATCCTGTAAACAGGTTTGTGTTGTTGCTTTTAAGTAACTGACTCAGCATCTGGTGGTGGTTAAGGGGTTTTTAAGGCCAGGGGGCTTTGCTGGCCAAACTTGAGGGCACCTCACCTTGGGGCTGTCTCACTTTTTTAAATAATTAACTTTTTAAAAAAGTTGGATGCTAAAATCAAATATTTTCCTTACCGTTCTTGCTCAAGCCACAGTCAGGAGCTGAGTTGGGCCACCACAGGAGCACTTTGTCCTGGCGAGCAGAGTATTCAGGCTTATATAATGCATCGGAAAAGCAGCCAGCCACACCTGCCGGCTCCTTGCCACGTGTCAGTGTAGACAGGGTGTCCTGTTACCGGCACCTGCAAGCAGCAGAATGGAGGCCTTGTTTGTTCCTCCCTGCGTGTCTGGCTTCCCTTGACCACCGGTGTCCTCTGTCCTGAGTTCTGCCTAAAATGAGAACTGTTAAGGGACTTCATGAATTCCATGGAAATCCTTTGTGGCTGGAAGCATGTCACCATGTTTTCCCTCACTTGTCCTGAGATCAAGAGTGTGGGTGGTAGGCCCAGCACTGGATCGTGACTGCAGGCCCGTTTGTTTCTCTTAAGGTGACTTGGGTTCCTGTCTGGAGAGAGGTTTCCTTCCTTGGTGCTTATTGAGGGCCTACTATATGGAAGGTCTCTTGCTAGGCCCTGCCCTGAAGAGGTGCTTCTCCTGAGGGCTGTTGGCAGACAAAGGAGGTACAATATTAGGCCCTTCAGAAGGGACTGTGGCCCAGGCCAGGGTGTGCAGCAAGCAGGCCCTGCAGGCCTTCCCTTGGAGGACACTGAATAAATCCAGCCAGGGCCTCAGTCAGTGGCCAGGTACTGTGCTGAGGGAGGCAGGCAGCTCTGGAAACACTGACAGCCACACAAAGATGCAAGTGGAGTCCTTGTAAGGACAGATGGCCCTGTGCTGGCTTTTCTCTTAGCAAATGGCTGTGTTTGGCCAGGGTTTTACAGCTTCCTCATTTGGGGCCTGTGGGAGAAGGAGGAAGAGATGTCATAAGATCATGAGCGGGGAACTGCCTGGATTGGGTGTTTATTCAGAGATTAAGGGTCACTGCTGTGGGGATCAGTCTTTCTGGGAAAATCCCTTAGAGACCTTATTTAATCAGATTGTTTAGAATTTGTTTGATGCAGTGAACCTTTGCGTTCTGAAACTCTGTGATTCTGTATCAGAGAGAGAAGGTTGTTCCTGAGTCAGTTTGTACGGGAGGGAGGCCTAGTGGGTTTTGGCCAAGTTCAGCAGTCCCTCCACACATTCTCGAGTGATGGGTCCCGTGCTGTAGTGTTTATGATCAGCCGTGTTGTAGGCACCAAACTCTGCTATGACTTAAGCAAGCAGAAGTACAGTCTTCCCAGCCACATCGGCATTTCCCATGAGCAGGGAGCGGTTTTCAGTGTGTGGCCTGTGCAGGCTGTGTTCTCTGCCCTTTGACCCCTTCTTTTGCACCTTGGCTGTAGAGGAAAAAAAAAAAAGTTAAAATTATATTTGTCAGTTTGGCTGGTTCATTTGAGGTTGTTAAAATGCTTGCAGGGTGAAAAGGTTGAAACTATTGATCCATTAGATGCTTTATCATTTTATCTCGCCTTTTCTGTCTTTGCAAGGAAGCTGGCACCTGGCAAGAGTCCCTCTGCAGTGAGAACATTTAGATGTTCAAATTAGGTGTGGAAAGATGAGATCATTTTGAGTTTCCCATTCCTTCTCGGAACTGTCTTCAGGAGACGTCCCCCCTAAACCCACACTTCTGCAAAAACAAAGAACACTGTCATACCTAACAAGAGCCAAAAAGATTGAGTTGTATAGGACATCAGTCAAGACGCATTTGGGGCCCCTTAAACAGAACTGACTGATGCCTTGAGCCGTTTAGCTCAGATTTGTAGATTACAGTGCCAATATGGCCTTATTAAATAGCAAATGGAAAAGATAAACAGCAAATTAATTGTCTGAATATTAAGGAAATTTATTGTATTTGATTGCAGTAGTTCTACCTTGAATTACATGCAGACTGTAAGAGGTTTTGTCTGAGTATATGCCACAAAACAACCCAAAAGCCATTTCCAGCGCAGAATCCATTCAGAGCAGCTGGTCCATCCTGAGGGTCCACACCTCTCGGCCTTAAGGCCTTGGCCGAGGCTCTTGCCCATCTCTGCTGTTGCCTCACTTGGCTGAGGTGGCTGTATTTTACCCACTGTGCAACTGGGAAGGTTTTGTTGCGCTCGAAGCTCTAGTGTGCCGCTTGGCACATAGTTGAGCTTATTGCTCTTGGCATGCACTGAACAGGGGCACAGAAGGGACTTGGTGAGGACCTGCTGTGTGCCAGGCATTGCCTTATGTACTTGGTGTGCACAATGTCATGTCCCTTTATCTGTTCCACTTTAGAGGTGAGAAAACAGAGGCCTGGAGAAACTCAGTGATTTGTGTGAGACTGAAGCAGGTGGAACTGGTGTTCAGATCTTGGCCTCTGACCCAGAAGCTGGAGTTCATGTCTAGAAAACAGCGCTTCACCTGCCTGAGTCCTGTGAGGCCCCAGGGTCTTGTCTCTCTGCATCTCCAGCCCTGAGCTAGCTTGGAGGAGTGGGCTTGAACCCAGCGACTGGGCGGGGTGGTCACACCTGAGGGGTGGGCAGCCCTAATCCAGCTATCACCTTAGTGGAAAACTTGTAATTTTTCATACACTGGCATATAGTGGCTTCCTTTGTTCTTTCATGCTTAGCGATCTTCAGCAGATGACTTGACATTCTCTGTCCTCTTGCTTCTCTGGTGTGCAGAGGTTGGAGGAGCTTTGGGGCCAGGCCAGTCCTTGTCCACATGTGCAGACTGTGGCGTGTCCTCCGTGACTGCCATGGGTCCAGAGACTGTGGACCCTGGGGCTGGGCTCCTGGGCAAGCCTTACACCTCCTCCCGCTTTGGTAATCATAGGAATCAGCCAAGTTAACCCAGAGTTTGTGACTCCTCAAAAGGAACTCCTTACCTTGAGTTCATTTATGTCCAGCCACTGAACTCTCTTATAAAAGAGCTTTCTGTGTTTAATTCCACCCCAGTAGCCCTCCAGTTTGGCCTGAGTTAGTAGAGCCCTTGCAGGTCTGCCTTTGGAGTTCAGGGGCTAGTCAAAATACCGCTTTCCTGTGCGGATTCTTGGCATAAACTTGGTCCTAGTTTCTGAGTGGTTTTTCGTTTCCTGTCTAGTTTAAGTGGGTAAAAAAAAAATCAGTTGAGTGCCTTTTGAACTGTGTCTTTTTATTTGCTTTCCTTGCCTCACAGAATTGGACAGCAGTAAAAGCATTGGCTTGCTTGGCTTTGGCAGCCTCCTGAGCTATGGCAGGTGTGGTCTGGGCTTTTCTTCCCTGCCACCTAGCACACAGCAGTGCTCTCTGGGGTGGGAGGGCTGGGATGGACAGGGAAGGGTCTGGGCTGGTGTCCCCATTGGGTGGAAGGGACATGGTAGGTGGCAGCGAAGGCCCTGCTAGTTCTGAGAGTTTGAAGACCTGGGCTTGGGACCTGTTCCCCAGAGGTTCCTAGTTGGGGCCCTGGGGTACATTCCTGGTACCAGGACTTTGAAAGCACCCCAGGGAATTCTAGCATGTAGCCAAAGTTGAGAACCGTGGAGTTGGTGGAGTTCCCTATACACAC